CTGCAGCAGGCATGCAGCTCAAAAGGTTTGCCAGTCTTGATGGAAGGATATGTAAATCTGACTCAATTCACAGCTTCTCTTTAACAGTTCAGTGGAAATTGCATCTAATTTAGGCTCATTCATAATTGTCAGTGTTGTAAATAATTGCAAATGTGGAGGAGCCCACCACAAGGCCTGATAATTACTTCAGGATGAAAACCCAACTGTAGGAACATCACGGTTGCTATGACAACCATGGGAGAAGCCCGGTTGCCCACGGTTACCTATGTTGCCAGATGTCACTGGCGCTTGAGTCTTAGCTCTGAATGAGCCTCAGGAGCATAATGGGGAAAGGCAATGGGAACTGTGTGAGTGGGTCTGAAAGGAAGAGTCTCCTGGTGCCCACGGGGATCTCTGACATCCCTTTTGTCTTTTTAGTCCTGATGAGTTCACGAAGAGTATCTCATTTCAGTTGTCATCTTGGAGCCAGAGACTCCAAAAATGACCCCTCCTCTAAAAGGCTTTTCTTTTTCCTTTTCTTTAAAAAAATAATGTGTTAAATTTAAAAAGTAATAGAAATAATGTGGTTCAAGCCTCAAAAATGCAAAAGGTCTATGGGCAATTCTCCTTCCTATCCTTTTCCTCCTCCCATTTTCTCACTTTTTATTTTGCCCCAAACGTATTTTGTATGCCTATCCAAGATATATTTTTTCCTTTTCTTGTATTACACAAAAGTATATAATACACACAAAAGAATAATATATCATAAATGCTATTACGCACCTTGCTTTTTTCCTTACTATACCTGCAAATTGTCTTATATAGATCCACAAAGCACTTCCTCAATCTTTTTAAAGTGCAACATATTTTATTACATGGATGTGCCAAGTGTGTTCAACCAGTTCCTACTGAATGCCTTTAAGATTGTTTCCAGGACTTTGCTGTCACAAAGGTAGCACTGACTAGCCTTACATTAATGCCGTTTTGCATGTGTGAGTTATCTGCGGGATAACTGCCAGCTGTAGAATTGCTGGCTATATGGATTTGTCGTTTTAAATCACTTCCCACAGATCTCGTACTGATTCCCATTCCTCCCAACGTTGTATGTGAGGCAGTTTCCCCACAGGCTCAGAGTGTTTTGTCTAACTTTCGGGTTTTAGCCAATCTGGTAGGTGAGAAATGGTTATCTCAATGAAGTTAAACCTGCGTTTTTCTTGTACATATTTCATTTTAGTGAACTAGCTATTCACATGCTTTGTCTATTTTTCTCTTGGGTTGTTGGCCTTATTCTTAGGGAGATCTCTTAATATAGTAGGAAGAGGAGCACTTTGTGATACGAGTTTTAAAAAAAATTTTTTCTTCCAATTTGTCAGTTGTCTTGACCTTTGACAATATAGTGTAATGGAAAGGGCACAGGCTGCAGAGTCAGGCTGTTGATGTTCAGATTCCAGTGACTTGAATGACTGGAATATTTGCTTACGACCCTTCTGCTCAGAATTTAACGGGTAATGCTTTGTGCCTCTCCCTTTTCTGCCTGCTTCTGGTCAGTCTACAGAGCCTCACACAGCTGCATTTTATAAAAAGCCCTGAAATTATCGTTGTGATCATTGAGAAGAACAGACAGATAAACGTCACTGTGCTATTAAACAAGCTAATGTTATTTATTGCCTGTATTTTTGCAACATATTTTCCTGTACCCTTGATTCCTGCCATCCGGTCTCACGCTGTTAAGTCTGGTGATGCTGCTCCTTTCCTTGCAAGTCGCCGGCAGCCCGTCTCCCCGGGAATGAAGGCCCAGGTCCTTGCAGTCGGCTGTGTTGTCCTCTGATGCGCCCATCCCCACTCTGTCTTTCCTCTCTGACTTGGTGTCCAACTATCTTCCATTTTAATCGCTCCCTTCTTGCCAAGCTCACCCTCTCCCTATTCTTTGCCTCAGGGCCTTTCCCGCTTTTATTCTCTCTTCCTGGGATAGGCCTCCCCAACCCACTTAAAACCATAAATTCCTACACCCCTTCCTACTCTTGCAGTCTTTTTACCATCTCCGCTGATGGTTCTGATCTCCATACTGCTCAAACCCAGCTTGTTAATGGACTGTCTCCCTGTGCAAGGAGTGAGTTTCATGAAGGCAGGGATTGTTGTATGTGTTTTGTTTATGTCTGTGTTCCCAGGGCCTGGGGGAGATGATGTTGAACTCATCAGTGTCTCTTTGTCCCTAAGGATTCATAAGGCTAAGCTCCCCAGTGCTGAAAGTACATGTTCAGGGCAGCTCCCAGCTACACTGGGAAACGGGTATATTTTATCTTGGGCTGTGTCTCTTCACTCCTGTGGAGTCTTTCCCGTTGCTCTTCCCTTGCAGTGCTGGTCATTTGTCTTACAATTTGGCAAAATCCTAGGTATCCTAGGACACAGCACTGGAGTGTGATAAAATGGTGGCGAATTAGGTTTCTGTGTGGTTTAGGTTATTATTTTATTTTTTTTGAAAGGCTAGAAATGCCTTTTAGACATTCAAGTGGAAATGAGAACTTTTTTAAAAAAGATTTTATTTATTTATTTTTAGAGAGGGAAGGGAGGGAGAAAGAGAGAGAGAGAAAAACATCAATGTGCGGTTGCTGGGGGCCGTGGCCTGCAACCCAGGCATGTGCCCTGACTGGGAATGGAACCTGCGATGCTTTGGTTTGCAGCCCGCGCTCAGTCCACTGAGCTACGCCAGCCAGGGCAGTTTGGGTTATTTTAATCAGAGATAGCCTCAGGAGAACATGGTATCTTTTAAACTTGTTACTATCATGTAAAATGCACCAGTGTTCTAGTGTTTATAGAGTTAATAGGTAGAGATAAAAAAAAAGAAAGGGCATATGGTTTAATCATCATTTATGTAATGCAGTTTTATAAGCCTACATAAATTATGCATTGATGACCTTTAAATTAACTTAGGCTTAATGAGACAGTTTCATTATGTTTAAAGATGTAATATAATTATTTTACTATGTTTTTTATTGTTATCTAAGCTTGCTTATGCTTTGTCCTCATTAAGGCTGAAGTGTGTGCCCTTCTTGTGGAATATTATTTTAGCTGTTTTTTGGTGTGAGGTTTGCAGAAGCCGGATCTAACTTAAGTATGGTGCTTATAAATTGTTTAATTATGCAGGACACAGTACAGATTTAATGGAGGCCTATATTTCCAAAAGAGTTAAACATTGTGATCTGAAAATGGGCTCTTTAAAAATGAAGTTTGCGACAGGAATCTTTGTCATCCTGAGTACAAATAGAGAAATGAACCTAGAGTTCAGCTGAGGCTCAGCCTGCTGCCCTCTACTGTTGGATCTTGAAAATGCAGATTAATTTTGAAGAGGGCATTGGGAAGGAGAAGGACGCTGAACAGGTTAGTCTCTGGCCTCATCACATTCAGACACAGAAGCTACACTGTCACATATTTTTTTTTTTTCAATTTGGGACACTGCTAACCTCACTTGATAATATCGTTATTTTAATGCTTCACAAATAAAGGCTGAAAAATTCTAGTACTAGAGTGTAAGCACGTGAGACCTAAGAAATCTCTTGTCCATTTATGTCATCAGATTTTAGGATTTGGGCGGTATTTCCTCATAAAGAACATATCAGTACTTGGGCTAGCCCCAAGTAACTAACCTATGGGGGAATCGAGCATCTCTTTTCATTAAAAAACATGCAACAGGAGACTGTTGATATGCCCAGGTTGCATGCATTTGTAGTCAAACAGCCAGGCTTGGGAACTCCTTTGCAATACTGCATGTATTGCTTATAATCAATCAGTGGGTCTTCGATCCCACGGCAGGGAGGCCCTGGTAGAGGCACCGAGAAAGCAGTTGTGACGTCTGCGCTGTGGCTAGTTGTGAAATGTCCCCACCAACCCTTCACTGGTACAGAGAGAGGCAGAACATTCAGTGGTCTGCTGAGAGCTCCCTGGTGACACTGCCCGAGGCCCTTCCGTTCCCATCACCAGTAAGTCAGGCCCGCTCAGCGCAGATGACGGTCACCTTGTCTGTGAGGGGACGGGCTTGCTCTCCTGATCTCTTCTTCACATTAGTAAGTTTATGATGTAAGTAAGTCAGGTGACCAACCTTCAAGTTCTCATCCAAGCGTGCCCCCTGACCTCTCACAGTGTGCTCCTCCTCTCTGAAATGGGCATGGAAATACCCTTCATAGGAGGTCTGCAGGTTTCAATGGGATAATGTTTGTCTGGCATAGTCCCAGACACTTAGTAAGGGTTCAAAAATATCCTTTTTGAGCCATATGAAATTGCTGTTTTTTTATTTGATCAAACATGACTGAATGTCAGCAGTTACCTGTGGTTCAAGCTAATAGTTTTTCTTTCAGAGTGAAACATTTGAAATAGAACTTTCTATGTTAACCTTCAGTGCCTGGGAAGGGTACCGCGTAGGGAAAACAGCATGAGCAAAGGGTGTCTGAGGCCTATTTCCCCCATAGTTTCAGCCCCCTTCCTAGTGATAGTTCTGTGTGCATGTAGGGCTGAGCCATCCCTGGAACCTTGTGAGAGACCCCAGTCCCTGCTCATCCTCTCCTAGTTCAGAAACTGGCTGTGCTTCAAAGAAGACAGTTAGGGGTGGTGGCCAGTGTCATGGGCTTGCTCCTTTCTGGAACAAGCATCAGGAACCTCTGGGGTCTGCAGAGCCAGCAGCTTCACCCTATGGACTGAGGAGTCTCATTTTCCCAGCAAAGTCGAGGGACAAGCTCACACAGAAGTCATTGGGGTCTAGTGACCAGCAGAGAGTGAATCATTAAACTTTGTTTTCTTCCTGATGGTAAAAGTTACACATTTTTATTGTGGGAAATTTGGAAAATATCAAATAGCACAAGAAAGAGAACAAAGAGAAAGTATAAAGAGACTGTCAGATTCACCCCCTCCCCAAAGTAACAGGATCTAAGTGGCATGGAGTTCTTAAATAAGTTTCTTTTCTGTTTGCTACTGCTGCATAGCCACCCTGAAACTTGTGGCATACACTAACCATTTCCTTCTGTTCACAGGTCGTGGGGGTCAGAAATTCAGACTGTGCACAGTCGTGACGATGTCTCTGCTCCTTGATGTCTGGGCATCAGCCGGGAAGCCTGAAGGGTGGGCGTGACGTGACTGCAGGGGCTGGAATCATCTGGAAGCATCTCCTCTCCCGTGTCTGGCGGGTGACACTGGGTGATGACGGGGCCTCTCCAGCAATGGCTGCTCTACGTGGTCTCTCCGAGTAGACTAGCCTGGGCGTCTTTACAGCACGGACACTGGATCCCAAAGTGAGTATCTCAAGATATGGGAGGTACAAGCCGTTGGTGTCTTAAGAGCCCGGGCATAGTCATAGTGTCATTTCTTCTGTAGTCTATGGGTCAAGGACTAACAGAGCCCAGACTCAACCTTGACCTCACCTTTTGATTAGAAGAAAGGTAAAAAAGTTTATGTGGTTCTGTTTTAAAACCTTCAGAGGGCCTCCCTGGATGACAGTGGTTCAATCAGGGCCTGGACTTAGACTGCCTGGGTCCACTTCTCCCTTCCATGTGTGCTGGCTGGGTGACCTCAGGCAGGTTCATTGTGGTAGAAACTATTGTTGCTTGCCCGTGTCTACCTCCATTACGCTCTCCTTCCTGAGATCACCAGTGTTTCCCAGCCCCTTGCATTCAGAGCCAAGAGACTGAGCTAGCAGAGTAGGAGCGGAAGCACCACATGTCACCTTGGGTTGAACTAAGTCTTGGATATATACTCACCCTCTCCTCCTCGCCTGCTAGCTTAGCGGCAGAGGACCCACTGGGATCCGGCACGGGAGGTGGTGGAGTCACAACACGGAAGGAGCCTGGGTCCCCGAATGACTGCTGGGGCGAGTCCGTTCTCTCATGCCCTCTGCCAACAAGGACGTGGAGGACAGGTGGGCCTTTACCACGCTGAGTCGCTGAGATGTTGGTGGTGTTTGTGACAGCAGTTAACTTACCCCACCTAGTACATTACCTCTCTGGGCCTCTTTCCTTACCTATAAAGGGGTATGTCAGCAATAACTATCTGTGGGTCCCCTGTGAATTAAGTAGAATAGTTTAATGTACAGTACTGGGCACATAGTAAGCGCTCATTGGACATTAGCTATTGTTATTAGTGAACGTGACTGCCAGTTAGAGGAAGGGGCAGGTTTGTGTCTGGGAGGATGGTGGCCTAGGAGGAGTGTTAACTGGAGGATTGTCATTGTCATCACCATTGTGAAGATGGCCCCTGCCATTTACTACTGAACACCTGGTTGGGCCCGGTTCTGTCCTCGGGTGCATCTCTTGCACTCACTTCAGTCCCCTGGGGCAGGTGCTACTAACCTCGATGTCAGGATGAGGACCTGGGAGCCCAGAGCTGCTGCTGGCACTGCACGGAGCACACAGGCGGGTTTCGGCTCAGGGCCCTCTGACCTTGAAGCCTGACTCCTTCACTTCAGAAATGGCACTGTGTGTTTTTTGGGGAGATGTGATATGTATTGAAAGATTTTTTTTAATGAGGCCTCTACCTGCTTTGCTTCTCGCTAGGGAAGTATTATGTTTTCCTTCTGAGACTTGCTCTACTTCACCTTGTAAGGCTTGGCTTTTTATAAATTAATCCTCTGGCGTAGCGATCGGCTGTAGATGTGAAAGGCCCAGCTTCCTTTCCTTTCCCAGTGTCCTGTTGCTCCTGTTTTGTTTGAACTCCGTCAGGCTCTATGTGGAGCAGGTCAGTGGAAAACGGGACTGGATTTCCAGAACAATGCCCGTGCCTGAGTCCCGAGACTCTCCCTTTGGCTCAAGGCCTCCGGTGGGGATCGCGGCTGTTTGAAAGCCCTCTCAGTGCCTCACATCCCCTGAGGCGGAGCTGGCCGGGAGCAACTTCCAAGTCTTCACTTCTGTGTGGGGCGAGGGGGGACGTGTTTGCGACTCCACAAGTGCTGGTGCTTAACATCGTGATACTGGATTTACTAAATTAACTGAACGATTGGTTTCTCTTCACAGTTATGTAAAATCTATTCCCTCTTCCTCCCCTTTGAGAAAACAATTTTGGCGTTAGCAGCATAGCCGACCCCAAGACCGGTAGATCCATAGGTACTGACTTGGTCACTAGCAGCACGGGGTGTCACCGGGCTGCCTCTGCGTCTGTGTCAACGAGACGGTTCTGCTTGCAGCTGTTCAGGTCGTGCCCGCTTGCTGCGAGTTAAGACAGGTTTATGATATGCTTTCCTTTCACTGATCCTCGTCCGGGTCTGATGAAACTTTAAACACAAAACGTGTCTTCCCTTTCATCTCACAGATAGTTTCTCTGTCAAAGGCAATGCCAAGGGCAAGATGAAAAAAACCTTCTACCCTTAAGGTTGTTTTTGAAATATTTATGAATATGTTCGGGAAAAAGCCTGGACTCCTCGCTGCTGGAGCTATGGGTTAAGTTGCTTTTCTTCTAGAATGTTATTATTATGATTATTATTAAAATATTATTATATTAGAGAATTTTGCAGAAATTCTTCTACAATAGATTTTCAGAAACAGTTGTTCTTGAAAACTTGGTGGCTGTTTCCAGAATAACACGAGGTGGCGCTAGAGAGCCAACGTGGAGATGGATCTGCTTCCAGGCAGGAGCAGGGCTTGAGTGGAAGGGGTGGCCTCTCACAATGCATTCTCTGAAACAGTGCAGGAGAGTTCCAATTTCTCGAGGTCCTCCCAAATTTGTGATTTTCTGGCATTTTCTTTTCCTTTTATTAAATAGCCATCCTACTGGGAGCGAAGTCTTCTTGTGGTTTTGATTTGCATGTCCTTGAGGAAAGGGTTTTACTTACTTGTTGAGCCACAGAGCATTCTGTTGACAGCTTGTGTGCACGGCCTGGTGGTTAGGGACTTGGGGCCTGGTGTGTGCAGCCTGAGGGAGGTCCCCAGCACCCTCACACACTAGCCAAGGTGAGTCACAGCCACCTGAGCCTCCACGCCTTCCCCCATTGGGTGAGAACTCCTGCACATAGGATGGTTGGAGGAAGTCAGGGTGTAGATCTACGCAACTTGTTGGCATGCAGTAAGTGCTCAAAAACTGTAGCCATTATACAAAAGCCAGAAGCATAAAGCAGTTAGTTAATCAGGAAGGTGCTTAGGTTGATGTGGCCATGGATGGCCTTCAGTCCCTTCCTGAATACCAGCTTTTGTCCAGATTGCGGTCATCCTGTCCCCACATGGGACATCTTTAGCAAACAGGAGCCCACTTTGAGCCCTTCACTAAGTGGTTTCCAGGGTCCCTCTCAATGCCAAAGTCTAAGCCGATCCCCCGGGGTCAGCTGAAAGAGACCAGTGTCACCAGTATCACCCTGGGTCCTTGGGAGCCATTCATGGCTCTTGGCCCACACTCATTCTTCTGGAGAATAACAGCCATGCTGGGGTTCCCGCCTGTTAGGGAGCCCTGATTAGGACACCTGGATGGCACTGGAACATCCATCTGCCCAGCTTGGCTTTGTCTTTGAAAGATAGGACCAGTGGGTTTCAGAAAGAGGCAAGAGGGAAAGTGTCATTTTTACTCAAGACATGGAACGATGCTTGGAGGAAATGGGTTGTCTTGAACTTCATTAAGTGGGCAAATGTGTTCATCCTTTGCAATTATAACAGAGCAAGAAGCAGTTTGAAAAAGTGCTGCAAGTTCACCAAGAAGCCAGGAAGCTTGGGAGGAAAGAGCGGCCAGGGCAGGACCTGGGTCCCTTTTCCTTCCAAGGAACCAGTGATAACTTGGCGGGATGATTGCGTTTTGGATCTGCGCCACGAGGTTTGTTTCCTCTGCAGGAGCAGTCCATACAGGAAGAGATGGCATCTGTACAGGGCAGTCAGAGAGCAGCAGGCAGAGGCCAGCTCACAGAGGAGGCTTGAGCCGGGGAGGGCCAGGCTGGTGGGGCAGGCGGGCCCAGAAGGAAGGGCAGAGACCAGGGCTCATGGTTGGGCGGTACCAGGAGCTGCCCAAAGTGGTGATGCTGCAAAGGAATTCTTCCTGGGGCTGAGAGCTACAGTAGAAGGTTTTTCAGCTGTTGAGAGGGGCTGAGGAGTGGGGCCTGGGAGACCCTGTGTGGAGAGAGAGCATCACCACCTTTTCATTCCATTCAGGAAGGGCTCAGCCCCACATTTTCCCAGGTCAATGCTCACCGCTCAGCAGAGAACATGAAAAGCATCCATAAAAGGGACATCGAGGATTTTGTTGGCCATGAACCTCAAAGATGAATTTTCCTATCACGTTTTTTATGAATATGCGTTTTAAAGCCTTCCTAATGCCGGCTGACCCTCTCCAGAACCCATGAACTTCCTCCTAAGGTGACGACTGGTGGTGTTAACTCAGCCAGGAGAAGACTTTGGGTGATGCGCTGTGCTTTAACTAACACATGGAACTGATAGAGGTGATTATCTTTCTTATTTTTTTCATGGCTAGCAGAGGGAAGATTTTGTCTTCTTTGATCTTCTTAAGTCCATAGACAGGATCGGGCCCTCTGTGGGGAACTTGGGGGGATCCCGAGTAGGCAGGAGATGTGTGGCCCCCCAAAGTGTCCAAAGGCTCTGAGTGTTAATAAGAACAGATACAATTAAGATGTGGGTTTTAAAATTGGTTTGATTTTCTTTCGGTGTGATTATTTGCATAGATAATCCAGTCACTGCGTGGAGAAATACGCAGCAACAAGTCACCCCGACTGCTCAGTGCCCGTCACTTCCTCCCACAGGTGCCTGCTGTCTAACACCCACTCCCACGGTTTCTGAGGCATATACAAACAAATTCAGAGGCACGTTCTTACGCCCACCTTGTTTTTAAAACTGAAACTAGTATTTTCTGCCCTGACCAGAGTGGCTCACTTGGTTAAGCATTGTCCCACAAAGCAAAAGGTCGCTGGTTCAATTCCCAGTCAGGGCACATGCTGTGGTTGAGGGTCTGATCCCGGCTTGGGGCACTGTGTAAGAGGCAACCGATGGATGTTTCGTTTCTTTCCCCCTCTCTAAAAATAAGTAAGTAAACTCTTTGAAAAATAAATAAAGGTAAAAATGGTATTGTATTTTGTAGTACTGTTTTATATCTTGTTTTTTCTAGTCAGTACATCTGGGAATGTGGATTTTGAAGGCACCTCCGTGGAGGGAAGGGAGCGAGGTGGACAGAACTGTAGACTGATGGTGTGAAGCCTTCGGGGCGTTTGCCCAGTCTGCTCAGCTTACGGACTGGGCACCGGAACCTGAGCACGCTTGAGGCTTTACTCAAGGTTACCCAGTGGCCTCTAACACTTAAAAATAATTCTTCAATTTACAAAAGCAAAGTTTCTTTCGTTAAGTGGGGCAGTTAAATGAACACAAACCTTAATTTGTAGCCTAATAATAACCCAAAAGTTTTCTACTGCCCTAAATTAAATAAACCTCATTAAGGAGTGGGGCTGTTGCTGCAAGAAGCCACGAAGCATGGCCTGTTTTCCTCCTGCTTAGAGGGACAGCCACAGTTGTGGCTCGTGACTGAGGCAGTGGTTTTCTGTGCCTCCTCTGTGCTTGCGGGAGATGAGAGTCCTCAGCGAGACGCTCAAGGTCCCGCACTTAAGTAGCGTTCACTTCTGCCTGTCCTGGAAGAGGTGAAGACACCTTTTTTATTTTTCTCCCCATAACCTGTGATGGTGAAGTCAAGCCAGCTCTGGAGCAAGGGGCACATCTGCAAAAGTCGGGCAGGCTGAACCCTATCCATTTTGGGGAGCTGATTTCTCCAGGGAGTGTGCACCCTGCAAGGGCACAGAGCCCCAGACAGCAGGCTGCGCTTGTAGGCTCTGGAAACCCAGCTCTCCCTCCATCGGCCTTGTTTTCTGGTCGGAGAAAGCATGACCTGAAACAGATCTGCTCGGTCACATTCTGTCCACCTGGCTGGGCCCCAGAGGTGGATTACTCTCCCTTTCGTCATCTTGGATCTTTGTCTATAAACAGAGGCCTGGCCTGGCCCTGTATGCACGGGCAGCCCTTCCCCGATAGATGCTGTTCCAGATCTGCACAATGTATATAAAGACTCCAGCGTGGTGCCTGGCACACAGAAGTGTCCAATTATTTAGTTTAGGTTCCCCTAGAAACAAATCTTGAGGTGCACTGGAAAGAGGTGGGGGAAATGAGAAATGAGCAGGCAGGCAGCCAAGAAAAGGGTGTTGTGGGGCCAGCTGCCGCCCTGGGCAGCTGGAGCTCGGTCCTGTGGGAACCGTGGGCTGTGGTAGAGAAGTATCCCACTCGAGGGGGGAGCGAGTTGGGGTATTAATGCTGCAGCTGTCAGGGGTTGGCTGAGAGCTGGTGGGTGCTGATTCTTCAAGTGCCCGCACAGCTTCTGCAGCTTTGAGAGCACCCTCAGGCACAGATGGCGCTGGCGGTTGGCAGTGGGCCAGAGCACTGGCCCACCGGTAGGGCACGGCGTGGACGGTGGCCACCACATCATTACCGTTATTCTTTCCTTCTCCTCTCTCTGCCTTGGTTTTACAGTTTGCCTTACAAACTTCCAACCCACTTCTAGCTACCAGCTCTCCACTGAGATTCTGTTCCAAGCTCCGTATCTTCACTAATTTGCCTCAGGTACCACCACACTCTGGCTGTGACATTTAGTTTTCTTTAAATTTCTGGCAGACATGAGCTAGAATGCAAAGCTGGCTGCTGTGGATCTGGCACACTCTGTCTGCCCACTGGGATGTAGCCTGGGGGTGGGTTGCATGGATGCCTTAGAAACCGGTCTTCTAGGTGTTCCCCAGAAGGAAGTACACAGCTTGCCCAGGGCCATGCCGCTTGTGCAGCGGTCTGTCTGGCTGCACAGCCTGGGCCGTTTTACTGGTGTCTGCTTTGAGACGGCTTGTAGCCCGTGGTTCTGTGTCCCTGGCCCTCTTTGGGCCTTGGGGGTATCTCTTCTGAGCTGCTCTCTTGGGGAGCTGCCAAACCTCCCTCCGTGGCTCCAGAGGACTGAGTGTTGGATGCCTCGGGAGCACAGTGGAGGAGGGGCACCTCTGCCATGAGGTCCTTGACGATCAAAGGTTGGGAAGTCTGCAGTTGGCCCACAGTGGGTGAGGGATGGAGGGGCTCTGAGTCATTCTCCACGCAGTGTGCTTTCATTGTGTTGCAGTTTGGTAAAGCAGGCATGCCCACCCACTGCTGGGTGAGTGCAAATGGGGGACATCTCAGTGGTGGACAATATGGTTATTATCTATGAAAATTAGAAATGCACAAGGCTGTGTAGCCAGTAATTCCACTTTGGGGAGGTTATCGTGCAGACACACTCACATGCGTGTGAAATGGCTTGCCTATTTAGTGGGTCCCCACAGCCCTGTTTGTGCTAGCTCAGAAACTGCCTGAGTGACCATCGGTGGGAGACTGGCTACAGCAGGAGCTGGACGTCCATGCCGTGAAGTGCCAGGCAGGCACGGGAAAACGAGGCCGTGCCATGTGTGTTTATTTGTTAGAGAAAAACCCCACAGAGCAGAACAGTATTCATTATGCCATAACTTTTGTAGGGAAAGAAAATGTGGGTGTGTTGGGTGACTTACGCATGTCTCTGGCAGGAGACCCAAGAGATGGGAGACCCAGCACCGACTGCCTCTGGATGGGAAGCTGGGAGGCTGGGATTGAGGGGCGCAGAGGAGACTTTTCCCACATGCCCTTCGGTATGTTTGGAATGTCAGATGACGTGGATGTATCGAGTAGCTACTCAAAAATAAATACAATTTGGAAGTCTGCATATTCTTTTTGTTATATTACATTTTACTTTGAAATCTCAGTTTCCTTATTTGTAAAAAGAGGAAAGTGATATTTACTTCAGAGAGTGATGACCACCGTGTCTGTTTGTCTATAGCATTTACCGCTGCCCTGACAGGTTTAATTTTAGGAGCAGTTGGCTTGATCAGCCTGCTGCTGGAGGAGAGAATGGTTCAGTCAGGTCCTGGGGGTCACTTGGTTGCCACTGTATCTCCGGGACCTGCAGTTGGTGGGTGCTAAACAAAAATACTTTTTGGAGTGAATAAAAAAATGAGAGTACTTTGTTAATTAGAACATGCTCTCATATCTCTGCTTTATTATTCATAGCATTAAATTGCAAGAGGCAGTGGTACATAGAGGCTCAGATACTCTAGGGTCAAATACCAGCTCAGCTACGTGTTAGCTGTGTGACCATGGGCAAGTCACTTGACCTCTCTGTGCTCCAGTCTCCTCATTAGCAAACTGGAAACTGTAAAAGTACCTACCACATAGGATTGCTTTGGGGATACAAAGGTCTCATGCATCTAAAGGACTCAGAACAGCACCCGACATGCAGTAAGCGTGGGGTCTGATGACTTGCCATGACTTGGGTACTTTTCCTGCTATAAACCTTCCTCTCTACAATTCTGGCAAAACTTCTTTCAGAATTTGGAAAGACCTTTAAGAGTAGTGATACTTCTTTGCTTGTTTTCTCTTTGAATTTTTCCTTTTTTTGCAACATTAAGGGGGCTCATTCTCTGAAGGGTCTGTCTGTTTTTCCGGAGAAGATCATTCCAGGAACAGAGGCTTTCTGATTGAGAGGACAGCCGGCCCCCAGGTGACTGGGTAGGAGTTGTAGGCGGGGATCTTCTGTTCTTTCCTTCCTGGGCACGTGGAATGTTCACATGGTCCTGAAGTCCCCAGGTCCCTGAAAGAAACCCTTTAACTCCTTGCTGGCCTTCCCTGGGAAGCCCCGCCCTTCTCATTTCCCCCAGGTACAGGCCTGTCCAGCCTGTCCAGCTGGGGCCCGAGGGAGAGGAAGCCACACAGGAGTGCTGGAGAGCAGCAGGGAGCCTTGGAAACTTTCTGCTTGAGCTGGTATGGAGAGAGACGCTTTTGCTGCCAGCGAACTGGAAATTATGGCCTGAGTGGCCTTGATGGAGACACACAAAGGAGACAGATGACTGGGCCCTGAAATGCTCAGCACAGCTCCTTAGGAAGTGGGGCTGGATGCATAGGGGTCTGGCTAAGCTGATCAGAGTGCATTTGGAGAGAGGCTTTGAGGACATTTCCTCAGCATCCGTCTGCATTCCGATGGCCTCCCTGTCCTTGCTCTTAGCCCCTCGAGTTTCTGAGTGCCCACCCCTCTCTGACGGGTCAGGAGAGGCCGCAGCTGCCTGCTGGCCTCGCTCTCCTGAGTGGTTTTCACCCCAAGGATTGCATTGCAACCATCACACTTCAGGGTGTGGTGGCAAGTTCTCTGCCTCTGGGAGTCACGGTGATGGTGGGAGGTGGTCTCCGCAGAGTGCTCTGCGCCCCTTTGAAGTGTCTCCTTCAGAAGGCGCAGCTACCTCGGGCTGGCTCATCAGAACTTGGGCAGGTGACGGTGACAGACAGACGAACCCAGAAGACAACAGGAGCCCTGCACACCGCTGCCTGGGCTCGGAGGCGGAAATGAATCTGCTTTCTTTTCAGGAACCTCTAGGTATATTTGCTTTTCATCTTGTTTCCTGACACAGGATAACATCTTTTCACAGTAAGGTGAAACCTCGGTGTTCACTCCCCCTCCCCCCACCCCGTCTTGCTCAGCCATATGGAAACAGCAATAAACAAAATCACCAGAGTGTTTCAGACACCAAAGACAGGACAGTGAGTTGGCAGCAGCCTGAAGGGGAGAGAAGAAACCCAACCTCTTCAAATCTTAGGATTTAGCTGCTGATTTGCTGGATCCTGGGGGCAGGATGGAGAGAGAGCCCGAATGTCTGATGGTGGCTGTTTCTCTTGCTTTGAAGTCCCCATGCCCCAGAGTTCATGAAAAAGAAAGAAAAAACTTCCAGAGCCTGATCTTTCAAAATAGAAAAAAGCCAAAACAAACAAACAAACAAACAAACCAGCAAATACACCTCCCAGTCTCCTGTCTTCACACCCCACCTTCTAAAAGCAAAACATGAAGTAAAGGCCACCAATGGTAGACTGCAGGCTGTTATCTGGC